CATTTTATTTTATATATATATATATATATATATATATAATAATGATCTTAACATTTTTCGTTCCATTAAAATTTGACAATTGGAAGTTTTTTCTACATAAATGCAAATGTAAAAATGCATGCATGAAAAGTAGGAGAAATTTGGTAAGACAGCGTAGCTAAGATTCAAAAACCTGTTTGTTAGAGCTAAACTGCTCGATCTAGAAACTGTCAAATTTAATCTAGATATTCATTGTTTAGTTGTGGACAATATATCACTCCTAAAAAAGTCATATGTACTACTTTTTTTTCATAAATGTTTTTTTCTTGAAAAAGTCAAATCACTTGAGAGTGAGGTAAAACCGGGTATGCATGTTAATTCTATAGAAAATTTAGAAAAGCTAGATTTTCAATGACAAAAAAAATAGCTAATATTTCTATTTTATAAGACAATTTAAGAAATGTACATGTTATGTAGTCAAGGCCATACTCAAAGAGAGGATAAAGAGGGGCAATTATCCCGTGTCCCGAAACTGATGAAGGTCCTTGAAAAATTCCTAACAAAAACTATAATGCTTTTATTAATAAGTTTTTTTTAAAAGGAAAATTGCTGAGATTTTCTTCATATCTGTATAAAAACTACGATTTTGTATAAAAGATCTTTAAAAAAATCTTTTAAAAGATCTTTTCTGCTTTGATGAAGGGATCGGCAATAAATTTTTTGAGGAAGGGAACAGCAAAAAATCGTAGGACCGGGTAGAACCCGATCTACCACGAGCGCCCAAGTTATGAAAACGAAACAGGTTAGTATTGGATTAAATCCTTCTTCTTTGTTAGGGTATAACTCTTCAGTAAATGTTTAATAGACTAAAAATCATTTTTATAACTGCAATGGCCAATAAATAAGGTTAGTTAAAAAACATTATAACAATAGAGAATTGAAATAGTAAAACAAACTCCGCAGACGCTATGAATTAATCAACAACAACATGCAAACAGGGTAGGTCCTCCTTCTAGACTAGTAAAGTGTAATTCAAAATTTGTCCTCTAGAAAAAAGAACTAATTTCGACACAATCGAGGTAGCCGATCTCACCCCACTATCAGGTTTTACCCCACTCTCCTCCTGAAAAGCTTCTTTCTTTTAATTTCGAAAATAAGCATATCATTAACTTGTTTTATTTTTAAAACTTTTTAATGCACCGACGGCTGTATTTTGCTTTAATATTGTCCATAGCATTAATATATCTTTTCATAAAAATTGCTTTAATGCATATAATTTTTCTTCGAAATGTTTCTATCTTTTGATAAAAAAAAAATAAATTAAAAAGAAAATAAATAATCATTAATACTTCATAGATAAATAAATATGCATCGTAAAAAGTTTAAAACTCAAAAAAATGCTAATTCAACGATAAAGATCCTAAGAATTTATTCAGAATTTTTTTCTAAAAGGGAGCATAATTTAAACTATAAATACACAGCATGTTTGAAAGAATAAAATCAAATCCTTTGATTTAAAGCAAAAAAAAATTCATTTGTAACTATCTAATGTTTTATTATTGGAATTGAAAATTCAATCGGAGAAATCAAAGTAATAGCAAAGGCTTACATCTAAATGCATTGCTTCCTTCGTAAGGTAATACTGGGCCACATGAACTGGAAGTATATTTTGAAGCAAAGTTCTATTAACCAGACCCATTGTTGCAGCTTCATCCTGCTCTTTCTTCAGTTTTCGTTTCCATAAATAATCCAGTCGTCCTACATATTCTACCTGTAAAGTTTCAAAGAACTTCAATACACTTATCATATTATGGTAAAAAGTATCGGTATTTACGATGCCAGTACTTTTTGCCGTAAAACCTTTTTTTTTTCGTAAAATTTTACAGAGAAAAAAATATAATACACTGTAATTTTTATAGTAATAATTATTGTAAAATTACTGAATCGCTGTAATTAAATATATGTTATTGTAAAAAATGCGCGCTAATCGTACGTAATGTCCCGTAACATTATAGAATGAAATAAGGTCTTCTTAATGCAAAAAGACTTTTTATTACATATTTTGAAAATGTAAACATGCAGTTAAAAGAATAAATTCGCATTTTCTTCGAATTCGACGACGATTCTTATAACTTAAATTTTTTTAAATATTTTTATGTAGCAAATGTTATTGATTTATTATTCTCCCAATGTTACGATAAGTGTCCGATTTTATAATCTGATGTTTCTATTTTCAACTCTCCAATATACACTGGCAAACTATTGCAACCGTAGTTTAAACTGAGGAATGGAAAGCCTATTTTTAACAAAATAAAAAATTAAAAAGAAAAACTTTTTTTCAGCGTATTTTTAAAATTTTTTTTTCGTAATGTAGAATTTGATAATCATACAGTCAAAAAAAAAACTGTAGTATATTGTTAAGAAATAACAAATTAAGTTAAAAAATAAATAAAAGAAAAACGTTATGATACTTTTTACTATGCACTGTAATTCACTTAGTCAACGTTAATAGGTTTAACAAAGTAAACTTATAGCACGTAATAGGAATTCAGAGGAGAGGCTTATTTTTTTCAACAAAAAAACCCCAACTAAGCTGGGTTTACCAGAGTTTTGGTTAGAGCTTTAATATAATAAGAATAACTATTATGATTTTAATCACATGAAGATGAGTTTATATAGTTTTAGCATATTACCTGTCTATCTAACAAATGCAATGTGCAAAGAATTACAAACAGACACCAGTATTGGTCTGTCCCAGGAGGTAACATTTCCCTAAGAAAAATATAATTATTAGATTTACCAACATTTACATATTTATTGCAACAATGCAAATTGAAGTGCTTCGTGAAAGAAGGTTTTAAGTGACATATTCTAGTTAGGAACATCAACTTTCCTATTAAAAAAGCATTCTTTTAATAAACTGACGAAAACTTTTTTTTAGTTCTTTGCTTATAACTGAACATGGTACGTTTTTTAAACTCAAAATTTTGCATTTTTTTAGAATGTCACTGGTTACTTTCTTCCACGAAGTCCTTTAATTATTGTTCGATGTTAAATAGTTACCAGTCTTGAAGGTAAGGCCTGCTAAACACATTCGGTTTGTAAAAGATGAAACAAGAAAATGCTGCGACAAGACTGCCATTTAATATCAATTTTATGAAGAAATGAACTCTGAGGAATATCGATAAGGACACCATAGCTAAGATAGCACACCAAGTAAAGTACTGAAAGAAAAGATCATCAAATTGTGTATAGAGAATGGAAGGACAACCATGATTCGAAAAAATGTTTTAGTTATCAGAAGAAAAAAGTTACCCATGGTTTATAGCAAGCTATCGATTCATGTTCAAAAACAGTTCTGTTTCCGACGAGAGCAGAATTCAAAGGAACACATTCATTCTAGAAAAAAATATTTATATTGAATTTTGAAGTTATAAATACATTTTAACATTTTTACACTTTTGAAATTATTAACTCGAGGATATTATTATTCCTATTGTGTAATGCTTTTTAATGGTGCAAATATTCTAGGTAATATATGTAATGCTTAGTAATAGCATGAGAGATCTGCATCTGTGCTTTCAATAAAAAAATAATAAATAAAAACATAAAGCTATATGGATGCTGAAATGTGTATTCATATTCTCAACAGCTGCTTATAATCTATCTTTGAAGAATAAGTGTTTTAAATGCATAATCTAATTAAAAATAAGCATAAATTTCGAATTTATTGAACAAATTGCCATTTATATAATGGTTTTTTTTTAAAAATAAACAATTAGTTTCTCAATTTCAGGTATTATTTTTGATTTAAAAATTCCTATTTATTCAAAAAAGCAATTTAATGCACTGTTAGAATTTTCATTCTCAAATTATAGTAAAATAATCGGCAGATATCTGCCCATCCAATTAACCATAAAGTTAACTGTTTGGAATATTTCTTTCCTTCTACGGGTTTGAAATGGTTTGTAACAGGTATGGTTAAAAAAAATCGTGAATACAAAACTATCACTTCATTGGTGAATATTTTTCAGTCATTTACAACTGGCTTGGTTTCAAAACTATAAAAATGTAATTTAGCTGATCATTAGCGTAAGGTTATGCTAAACCTTTCTCTAAAGAATGGTCCATTAGAGTTAGGTACAGCTGAGTTGTGTTTTGTTAAGTGAACCGTAGTATTTGCATCGTTTAATTTATATAGTGGTACCCTCTATCGTAAAATAGGAGAAATACTACACTTTTTGTGCTAAGCAGCTCTGCGGTGCTGCAATTTATGCATAAAAGAGAGATTTGCTTTCCAAAAATTTATGGTCACCAATTGAGGATTGCATAACACATGAAATTTCTCACGTGTTTCAGAAATGGAGGAAAAATTGTGGTGTTTTACCGGTCGAACCCCTGTTCAGCGGAGCATTAGACTAACAGACCCTCTCAACTAAAGTATATATTCGACTGTAAGTAATTTAGTGGCTTCATAAGATGTTCACTGCAAACTTATCATTATAAAATTATTAGGCATCCGCTGTTGTGTTAGGTATCTGATGATGAAGAATAACACTTTGAATTCATAAACCCTATCTCTTGGCTCAGTTCCACCTTTCGAAGAACGTGCATTCGATTCTCATTGGCAGTTGGCATAGTTGGAACAGGATGAAATTCTGCTTGCATAACCATATTAGGGGAAAAGTCAATAAAATTTTTTGACAGTAAATAGTTTAAAGCGATCCTTTTTTTTATGGTTATTTATCTGCTTTAGTTGAATAGGGTAAAAATAACGATTAAATAAATTGTTATTTAACCATGTTTTTCGAGAAATTTCCAGCAGTGTACCATATTAAGGTTGCAGCAAACTTGAACCCTATTATGATTCCACATGATCCAAAATCTCCAATGGTGTATTTATTGATATTATCGGAGAAAACACCTTAACCTTAAAGCATTTTAAAGTTAAAGGATAATGAGAATTATGGCATTATCTGTGCTAAAATTTTTGTTATTCCATTGCTCAGTACGAAAAAAAATAGAACACCCTGAATAACTTTTGATTTAATGATCGGATTTTCACGTACTAAGATAATCTTAATGGTTTGAAAGCCTAACTTTTAACATGCTAATTGATTAGTGGAGATGGAGACGATATTTAAGTCGCAAAATCAGATACAAAAATGTATTTTCTGTGAATAAACAAATCTTTCTTTATAAGACAAATAAATACAAAGCTTTTTTATTTTTTTTGATTTCTGACCTTTAAAGCATGGGTAGCCGCAATCATGGAAATATATGGTCCTAAAATTTTGAGTAGAGAGTGGTCGAAAGGTCTGAAAGGCATATGTTAAATTTACTTCTTGACTATTTCGTTATTTCTCGAAAAATTTTTAAACAAATCGAAAAGTTTTTCGCAAACAATTATAAAATTCGTTTATTCAAAGATAATTTCACTCAAAAGTTAATGCTCAATAATTATTTGTCATATTTTACTATTTTATTTAATAATAGACGAAAATATTAGAAATTGTAAGTCATACGAATTTTCACATAATTTTAAATGGAAAAGTTCAAAATTTGAATGAAATTGGCCAAATCGTTTCTAAATTTTATAAAAAAGGTAAATATTCAAAAATATGATTTATCGCGAATTATTCGACCGATTTTTTTTAAAATTTTGTATTTTGCACGAATAGTACGATAAGCTCCCAAATTTTTTTTGAACTCAATTTTTCATAAAGGCAATTAAAAAAACACATTAAAAAAACATATCAAAAAAACATATTAAAAAAACATATTTAAAAGAAACATTAAAAAAATAAATAATAAGAGAGAAAAGTTGTAACAGCAAAAATTTTCGACGGCAATATTTAAGATAGATAATGGCACGCGTCGTTCTGAATTGAGTAATTTTGCAAACTTCGCAATACGGATGATCACCGTAGATTCCATTTCCTTTAAATAAAATTATTTCATTCCTTTATAACTAATTTTAGATTTGTCACAGTTTTTTTCAATCACAATTCTTAACAAAGAGTTCTGTTTTTTTTGAAAGAAAGTGTTATGAAGAAGGATTTTTGTTTATAAAAAATTAAATAGAAAAGTTAGGGCAGCTAAATTTTAGATAGTATAGTTATATAATGATATTGTGTATAAAAATCTGCTTACCAAACCCATTAGAGCTACCGCATTAAGAAGTGCAGATATTCCGACAAAAACAACTGTTCTGAGTAAAAAATTGTTCAGAGATCCTCGAAGAGAGTACAGAAAATGAAGTTTTGACGTTTTTTTCTGAAATTGAAATTATTTATATCAAAATTTATATAAATTTGAAACAATTTTAAGGGCTTGATATACTTTGATGCATAAATGAATAAATAAATAAAAAATAATGCGTACCTTAATTATCTTCCAAATAGCTGGCACCCATAGAAGAATAACGCTGACTATTAGAATTGCAAATAACAAAAATTTTGCAATCCAAAACAGGTGCAATCTAGATTTATGGAAAGAAAAAGAAAAATCTTAATAGGAATTTTAAAATAAAATTATTTACAATCATTATTAAGATGAATAAAGTTAGGTAGTTATCGATTCCCGGAGGCAGTATGAAACTATTACCACCTTATCTATATATATATATATATATA